TAATATGATATTATATACGGGGTGTTCCATTTGAAAAATCAAAGAAGCCGCTACTTTATAGTAGAAGCGACAACGCCGCTTCGTCTGAAATATTTTAGGCGTGTAGGTCATATTGATTTATGCATACTGTGAAATTTTCAGATTAATCCGTTAAATAGTTTGTCAGAAACGGCTAATTAACGCTCATCATGAAAAGCCCTGTACTATATTTTGTAGTTCCAAGAAGGAGTTTATTTCAATTCAACGGTTTCCCGGCCCCTTTCTTTCAAAATATTTCAGATGGACTGTTTCAAATTGGCTACCCTGTATAATATCAATGATACTTTCACCATATCTTGAATGATCAATTTATGGAAACGTGTTCTGGTGAAAACTCAAGTTATTGTGAAAACAGACACAGTAAATGTTCATGGTGGCACAGAAAAAACTATTTCTATTCAGAAAAAAACAATCAATTGAAGCTTTTCGGTTTGTAGAGTTTTGAACACGGAGTTCACATAAAATTCAATTATGGGCTTCACGTAATGATTACGAAAGGCATTTTCCTTATTGCCCTCGACAAAACTAAGATTATGTTAACAATCACATATTCATGATATTAAGTCAACTTATGACTACGTGTTAAATAAATTTGTTCGCGACCGAACGAATAAAAAACAGTTCATAAAATAACTATAACAATTTCAAAAATGTTGCAAAAATATCAGTTATCAGTTCAAATTTAATGAGACGTACGTGTAAGTAATTCATCGTAAGTAATTTTCTACGATGATAATGAATTAGCGGGAACAATATCTTGTTACCTCATTCTGTTATTTGTTTCTTGATATTGAATACATTTTCATAAAAGTTATCGGTCCCGAGTGATTTGACTTAAGAAATTTGAATATTGATTGTCAAAAATTAATTAAAACAAGGACAAAGTAGCATGAATAGACTTCAAATTGCTTCCGCATCCACCGTATACTCCAGATCTGCTCCCACATCTGTTCTCGGAACTCAGGTGAATGCTCGCTGGCAAGAAATATAACACCGATGGAGTGGTTATCGTCAAAACTGAGGCTCATTTTGAGGCTAAAGACAAAGCGTGCAATATTGAATAATACAATCAAAATTAATCGAAAAAAAGTTTTTTCTATGTTAGCCTACGAACTCTTCAGCACAACTGTTATTTATTTCAACGAACTGAACCTAAGAAAAAGGTTTGGTGGTGCAGCCCGAAAACCACTGAGTCGTCTCCTCAAGAGCGGGGTACCTTATGAAACCGACTTGCACCAAATTCTTGAGCGGCGTACGCAGAATCTGTCTCAGATGGAGGAACAAACCCCCCATAAGTAGGTTAGCAAACGTTTGCGCTCAAATGATGATTCACCAAAACCAGAGGCGAAAAAGTCCTGCACAGGTGAATTTAAGGCATCGTCAGGTGTAGCTGTCGTGGAAAAACCCTCATATGGAAAGATTGTCGCGGGTATAAAGGTGGGAATCTTGCACCTTGTCTATCTGACTACCTTATAAACGATGAAACAGCAGAGCATATACTTTGTGCCTACCCCGCTGAGGACCGAATCAGATTTTTAGAGTTCGGCAGAGCCGAATAATATCCAACCCTCGTTGGATATTATTCTAGACATTTTCGGGTTAACGGAACCAAAGCCCAAAGACAGCGCTGTTTCAACCCGCCACAGGACTCATCAGTGGTGCTAGTCCTCATAGGACAGGCCTGGGTTTCGATGATATCTATGAGATCTCTCTATAGTTGAGGTTTTTGTTATTTGCTCCGTTGAATTATTATCGTTATTGACGATTTTCGGTGAAGACATACATCCAGTAACGTTATTAGTTTCAAATTTACCACTCGTCAACGAATGACTAGTTTTGTAGCAGAAATATGAATCATACGAACCTGTCGATTTCTGATACGATCAGCCAGTTCAGCAGCTGATAGCAGTAGAATTTGATCCTGGATTGGAGGACATTTTTTCGATTTCTTGAACAACCTGGTAGCTAACACTGGTATGTAGAGGAGGTTTACAGATTTCATTGCCATCCAGAATAATATCCTCACTGCTATAATTCCAGGTGGCATCTTCTGAAACAAGGAGTCAGTTACTGGCGTAAAATTAACAGCGGACATTAATAATAAATAATACGTTTATTCATCTCATAACAGTCATTAAATTATCAAGAAGATGTAATCGTTCTTTGATTCATTCAGTAGGTAATAGTAGAACTTGGGCATACTTGAAGATAATTTGATTTATAGTCAGTTTTCAAGTATGCCCACTGACTATATGTGAAAGTTTTCTCTCCTTATACGAAGAATTGGGCAAATTTCGGATATGCAGTTGGTTACCTCGTTCACAGGCAGATGGGGCGACGACAAACCTGTTGTTTGTTGTATGCTTCAGCTTAGTTCGAGGAATGATACTCTGACGGAATTCGATTATCAACACCTCAACACGTGTTTCAATCACCAGGACGAGGATTTGGAGACCCTGGTGAGGACTGACTCATCTAAAACGATGAATGGGATGGCGCAAGAACTCGGCTCCCATGTGGTTGTTGTTGTTTCTAAACGTAATGTAAAGGTTGGAATGCTCGAAATGTGGGTGCCCCACAATTTGATTGATCGATGGAAAATGTCACGTTTCGAAGCCTGTTCCTTGCTTTTGCGCAACCAAAGCGATCCCTTTTTGGATCGGATCATAATGTGTGGTGAACAGTGGATCCTCTACGACAACAAGATACGTTCAGGACAGTGGTTGGATACCCAGGCACTTTCCACAGGCGAAAACCCACCAAAAAAGACGATGGTTGCTGTATGGTGGTCAGCAGCTGGCTATAACTTTCTGCAACCGGGCCAAACCATCACAGCATCACAACCTTATATTTGCAATGAATGATGAGTGTTTTCCTATTAAGTAAACTTGTATACAGTGCGGTCCATATGTATGGAATAAATTCAATTTTAGCGTTATTATGTACTATGTGAAAAAAACCTGAAACAAGTCCATTTTCATTCTTAAATTGACAATTTACAGTATGAAAATATTATCCCCCTCCAGCACCTCTTCTGAATTATAAGCACCCCCTCGAAAATTTTAAATAGCAAAGGAGGTTGTGTGGCACCTTGTTGGAAAGGGATTTGAAAATAGGCTGTATTATTGTTTTCAAAACAACAGAACCCACTCTGAACATTTACTTGATTTATATTTTTAATAAATTTGCAGTTCAACAAAAACCTCATTAAATATTCCATTTAAGCCAAGGTTTCACAATTATTGCTTCACCCTATACAATTATTATTTATACCATTGGATAACATTTTTTATAGTCTTTTCAATGATGTATCACGAGAAGGGGCTTGCAAATTAAACTTTTTGTGTTTTGGTGGGTGGGGCCTAAGGGGTTGACGGGGGCGAGTTCTCTTTCATGTCACTTTAGTTCCCCCTTACTATCCTAGAAAAGTTTTCAAGCAGTTTTCGAATTGACACACTGTATAAACAAATAAATATCCACCTATGATAATAGGGGTATTTACATGCCGGTAACGGCATGTTTCTTTAGCCACTGAGCATTTTTTCTGATTTCCAGTAGCGTCTGATAAATATATAATGTTGGCAACGGTATGATACGTAATTTTTTGAATAATGGTCTACAGTGCTCCCGGAAACCTGCACTTGCCACTATTCTTACAGTTTTTTTCTGTAGTGTGAAAATTCTCATTGAAGCAGGAGAGTTCCCCCACAGAACAACACCGTAGCTGATGTGTGTGTGGAATAATGCAAAGTGCGTCATTTTTAGAATCTCATCGCTTGTGATGTTTTGCAGTTGACGAAGGATAAATATTGCACTAGATAGTTTATTTGCGAGAAGATCTGTATGTTGTTGCCGAGATAAAGTACTGTCGAGAATAACGTCAAGTAATTTTACACTTTTGTTAGTTGAACCTACAGTGGCGACCTCAAGATTTTGAGTTTTGTCACTATTCAACTTCAATTTATTTGCTAGAAACCAAGCGTTGGCTTTATTTTCAACTTCTTCCATTACTTGTGGAATATTAGATGATGACTGATCGCTATATATTAAAGTTATGTCATCTGCATAGAGAATCGACTCATAGGGAGACATGAAATTCCATATGTCATTAACAAAGAGCAGGGGCCTAAGTATTGGACCTTGTGGAACACCGTGCTAGACAGGTTCAAAATATTATGTAACAGCATTACACGAAACCGCTTGATACCTGTTTGAGTGACAAAGATACCCCTTCAACTCCATAATAACAATTTTTTAAAAAGGATACTGTGTGATACACACAGTCCTAAACGTTACGGTTTCAATTTGATGATTAGCCATAACACGCGTACTATGCTTTCGGTTATCAAGAACTGTCATCAATGAAATATCATGTTCCTCAACAAACATGCTATTATTATTTGGACGGTCAAACAACTGCAACAAAATCGATGAGCATGACGAATCAACAAGGTTACCTGGTCTTTGACATCGAATTATTATTAATGGAAATTACCGGAACGTGTCTTTCCATTTCTGAAAACGAAAATGTCGAGCAAATTTCTGTACTCGTTAGTTAACTTTCACATATCAAGTTCGATTATATTTTATGGGACATTTTTCAAGGTTACCACTCAAAAATTGATTTCTATTTAATACACCTGTTGAGTTTTTTTGGAAGAGTACTCGCATTCGTTTCTGAACGAATAATCTTCAGATTTCTTTCAATTTATACTGCCTATGTTTTTCAGTGCAGTTGTACTGTTGAAAAATTGGTAGAAATTGTGTATGTTTTTTGGGTTACCTATATTAATAGAATACGGTGATTATATCGATTCATCTGTCTGCTAGATTCGAATTCAATTGTTATTGATTATTGATAACGAGTGTATAATCATGATGAATAACAAAAGTATCTGAGTATATATATTTATTTACAACAGCAAAGTAAACATTTGAATGGTTTCTACCAACAAAGCATATACGAGGTCTGTTGAAAAAATAACGTGAATCTTCTCATTTTTCTCAAAAAATATTTATTTATTCTTTAATTTCTTTCTCATCAATCAGTGGGATATGCTTGAAGACGGGCAGTAAACAAATCTGAAGAAATGAATTTTAAACGATCAAGCCAGTCTCGGATATACCTACACAGTAAGTTGAATGGACTGACGCCTATCAAAAAACAACTACTCCCCTGGCTACTACCACGAATGGCGTTGGATTATATCCGACAGGCGTCAGTGCAGGAATCTTCACAGAAAATTTCCTGCATATAATTAAATAATAATAATATCGTCTTTATTATCTTCTAATACATTTAAAGCAAATTATTCAGGTACAGTTCATCTAATATATGAAGATGAAAGGCAAAGTTCAATGTTCATCGTTCAATTGCTCTTCCATTCAACCACAAAAATGTCGCCTAGTACGCAAAGGAATACACGAAAAGGATTTTTAATTTTCTTGAAATATTATTACTATTTATTATAGATTTATAATAGGTAGGTAGCCATTGGGTCATTAATAGTTTGAAGATAATACGAATCGTTTGGAATTGATATTAAAATGATCGAAGTCATCTCGTTTCATGGGCTCGGGAATGTCATTATAAATTGCACAGTTCTGGTAGCTGAAACTCTTTCTAAAGAACTCCGTCCGAAAGGATGGCGGAGTTAGTCTGCCTTTAAACTTTACATTGATATAATGCACATCAGTACTGAACGTAATTTTCTGGTGTAAGTAAGACGGCACTTTACTACTAATTATTTTGTGAAACAAAGTTGCAGCATGTAACACTCTCCTATCGTTCATATTAAACCAGCCGGTATCCTTCAGTTCATGTGATATTCTTTCTCTTCTTCTAATACCAAAAATTAACCGTGAGCAGGAATTCTGAACTTTTCGTATCTTTTTTTGAATTGGTTGGTTAAACATGGACCATACAAAACATCAGCATACTTGAATATAGATAAAACCAGCGATTTACACAAATTCGCCTTCACCTTCATGGGTAGGAAATTTCAGTGTCCATATATAATTTTAAGCGAATAATATGCACGAAATTTATATTTAAGCAGTGATCAGAAGAATTTTTCACAAATAATTTTAAGTCATTATTGATTTGAGTACACGCATTATCTATCATTTCAGGTGAGAAGCTGTAATACAACTGGGTATCGTCTGCATACAAATGTATATTACAAAATTTTAAACATTCTGCAAGTTGAGATGTGTAGATAGCAAACAAAAGGGGTCCCAAAATAGAACCCTGTGGCACTACACACATCAGCTTTAAATATTGTGAGCTGTTTCCTTCTATGGTAACCTTTTGTTGACGGTTGGTGGGATACGATCTGATTAGTGATATAGCATTTTTAGAGAGTCCTGTATAGCCAAGAACCACTAACAATAAATCGAAGTTAACAGTATCGAACGCTCTACTAAAATCAAGAAGTACCAATACTGTATTATTTTTTGCGTCACGTACTCTTATAATATCGTCCACTATATGCAATAAAGCAGTTGTACAACTATGTCCTCTACGAAATCTGGATTGAGTTATTGGAAGTATAGAGAAATTGTCAATGTGTTCTTTCAACTGAACTTCAATAGCTCTTTCCAGAACTTTTGACAAAGTAGGTAATGAACTAATGGCGCGTAGGATGGATTATTTTTTTTAACAACTTTCACAATTGCTTTCTTTCATACCGTGGGAAAAATATTATTAATCAGACAACAATTCACGATATGTGTTACATATGGAATTATATGTGGACAGCACATTTTTATGCAATTGGCAGAATTCCGATTTTCAATTATGGAATATTATTGACTTTAGGTCGATGATGACCACTATCTTGCACTGACCAGTGGCTAATGAGCCCGAAACCGGTCTGCAAGTGTGCCTGTTCCATAATTGAAGGTCGACTCTTTCAGTTGTATTTTCTGTGAAGATTCCTGCACTGACGCCTGTTGGAAAGTTACAGTCTTCGTGGAATAATCTCCGACTCAATGCCTCTATCAACTATGAACTGCCTTATATAGTCCTAATGCCAAGTAGAAAGAATC